GTTCAGTGCTTTGGCAGTAAAAAATGACTCCATATCAAATAGGTAGAAATAGTTGCGATCAATCAGATCAGAGAGAAGCTGTCCAGCAAGACGGTGAAGTGTTGCCATGATTGGAAGGGACAAATGCCATTTTTGATAACTAGGGCCATTTATAAGCTTAGTTTTTACAAGAGGCTTATGATCATAAAACCAAGTATACACAGCAGAATCTTCTTCCTCATCTAACTCTAACTGAATTGGCTCCAATGGGTCCACATCCAACAGATTATCGGCGTAATCAAGAGGAGGCTCCTCATCATCGAATGGAGGAAAGCGCATCCTCTTGAAGTGTCGCCGATCTCTCTTCTCCCGCCGCATCATTATCCACATCGTACCCCACTGCAGAAAAGTTTGGAACAAAGTCACAAAAATACCAAAGGTGCCAAGTAAATGTGTAAAATGGAAAAGATCAAAGAAGTAAAGGGAAAAGTACAGGGTTTTCCAACACTACAACCCACTGAAATGTACAGAACCTTAAGAAAATTTATAGAAAGAAGACCAGGAATGGAATCTTAAAGTCAGATAATATACCTGTGCTAGATAAATGGGCTCAACCACCCATGGTATTTCATTGACAAATGTAATAGCTCCAGTTATATGGTACAAGACCTTCACATCACGGACCTACAAATACATATAGCAATAGAGATCAAGACAGAATGTCTCAAAGTAACCAAACAAGATTAAAAGTTGAAATTCATTAAGCAGACATGTGCTTGGTACCTGTTCCCAAGGCATTGGCATGTTCTCAAGAAGCTTGTACACAGCATGCGGAACAAACTTAAGAGCTCCAAGATAGACACGTTTATCATGACGATATTTTTTTGAGGACATGTCACCATGATCTCTGTACGAAGTCCAAGACAGTTTAATACGTAAAAGACCGATAATGAAAACCCAGACCATTTATTACAGTAAAATGACATTTAAGTTCGGTAAAGCACACAGATCAGTATCTAATTAGTAGAGAAAAAGACTATCAAGATTTAGCAATTGAAATTGTTCAGATAGAAGCTGCTCAAACTAATTAAAAATAGGTATTCTTGATAAAGAACCAATGAAAAAGCCAAAATTCCACCAGGTAAGAAAAAACATTAAATCCTATATACATGTAGCAAATATCAAGAAAGCAACCTCACCAGACAAAGCATTGCTGTCATACAGTCATTAATAGATAACAATCATGCTCATAAAGGTATTAATTTACTCAAGTAGTGGACATGAAAAAAATAACATAATAAGTTCCGGCAGTGTTCTGGTGGACATGAAAAAAGCATTAACATTACAAGTGTTCTTGTGGACACGAAAACAGTAACATAATTTGGAAAAGCAAATAAATATATCAACTTCCTGTAGTCAAACACAAGTTTAAGCTACTATGATCTCCAGGTTAGGCTAAGATCAAATAATGGAAATTCAAATGGAATCACTCCAGCTTCATAAATTATGCAAAACCTGAAACACATAAGTAGGCAGCAGCACTTTTGCATAAAAACCCCAATCAATACATTGAAAGTTTTGATACAAAATAGACATGTGGATATTAAATATATCAAAGCTCTTAGAAGAAAAAGCAGTTTGAATCCTCCCAACCTTATAATTATTAGAGCATATCTAAAATAAGTAAGATTGAGTAGTATAAATGTATAACCAAACGCTATCAACTTCTTACATGACAGACTTTTGGAAAAAGAATCAGGATGGAACTTCAATTCTAGAAGTCAGACGATTTCTTGCAAGCCACCATCTAAGAATTGCGTTTATTTATTTAAAAGGCAATTTCGTCAATGTGCATTACAGCTCCATATCACATGTAAACAGAGGCCGACTAATCCTACCTCAATGAACCCATTGTGGAACACCAAAATCCCAAGCATATGTGGAAACTAAAGACCTTAGCCCAAAACTCGTACAATAATTCCAGAATCCACCTTGCTACACTCGTGCCTCATGATCTTTTTTGAGAACAATTAACAAACTTGGACCCAGGACTTAATTAGACATTTGACCATCCCAAATCCTCTAAGAAATAATTCAACTAAAAGACAACAATTCCTTATAAATCAAAACCCAGGTCAAAAGAGTTCCTAATTGCAAAACAAAAAAAAATGAAGAAAGTAGCCCGGCAGACAAAGCAAATATTCAAAGCAAGTGCCTGATTAAAAACAACGATTACACATTTCAGCCCTCCAGGATCCATCAAACAACAATTAACAGTACTTGCATTGACCAAAAAACCAATCTAATAAGATAACTAAATAACCAGAGCAAACGATATATTTTACTAATTAAAGAAAAATAAACTGACCTAATAATCTTCCTCACATGCTCTGGCGGCATGTCCTCCTTCTGCGTTTCGACAAAACCAAACTTCCTCTTGTCGCTATACCTCTTCGAGTTAAGCTGCATCCATTTCCGAGCTTTCTCCTCGAGCTGTGCCTCCGTCGGCAAAACAGTATAAGAAGGCGGAGGTGGAAGAGGAGGCGGACCACTAGGTCCAGCTCCTCCACTAGTCCCCGGTGGCATTAACGGTGGAGGTATGCCTGGAGGCGGCGGCGCCGCCACCATATTTCCACCATTACCGTCGCTATTACCACTGTTTCCCCACATATCTTGCGGATTTCCGCCCCACATATTTCTCTACAGCATCTACGAACAAACCCTAATTGGAGACTACCTCGACAACAATCGGGGAATTGAATTCAGTATCGAGCAGGAAATCGGTTTCTAGGGTTTTTGGAGATAAAGTAATCAGAGAGTGGAGAGCGCGAAACACCTCTCTGGATGACAGGAAATAGGAATGAACCCACGCTCTCGGGTTTTGGGTTCAATACTGATGGATAGATTAGACTCTCGAGGATTAAGGCGGTTTTAGAACCGAAAATTGGGTCGGATCTGGACGAGCCGAAGCCCGAAGCCGAGCCGACGAAGATAGGTCTACTTGAGAGCGGCCTGCCTAGAGCCCAAATATGTGAGACTGGACTTTGGCCAATTTGATCACGTGCTTCAGGCATGAGATTCAGCCTCTCTGCATGGCATCAAAAAAGTGATTCTGAAATTTTTTTTTATTGGATTGATGATTATTGATAAGTGCATATTTTACATGTTTTTAGTGTATCTTATTAATTAGTGTTTGTGTGTTTTAACTACTTTTATAGCTAATTAACTAAGTTTTCAGTAAAAATATGCATTTTGTGGTTTAAAGTGTGAAAATTATATTTTTATGGATTTTAATGGTAAAATTTCATGTTTTTATAGGTTTAATAATTCAATCATCAATAGCATGAATTGAGAAGATAATTGGATGATTGATGATAACTTGAAGTAATTTAAAGAAGACATAAAGTGCAAAATACTCAAAGGATGAAATGCAAGTTTTCCAGCTTTGACACTTTGTAGTATTTCGGTTATATCTTGAGCTACAAGTATTGGAATGAGGTGATTCTTCAACCATTTGAAACTAAGAAATATATCTACATTTGGTATGAAGATATCAAAATCCAATTTAGTTGTTAAAATGTCGAAATATAGAAGTGCAATTTCATTGTCGAAAGCTGAAACAGAGTTCTGACCAATTGAGGGTATTTTGGTCATTTCTCGGTCATTTCTTTGTTTTTGGTCCACAGAACTAACTTAAAGGGCTACAACTTTCATGATTTACACAAGAGTTAATTCAGCCTCTATCATTAAGAAAATATTAGTTGAAGTTGGACCAAAAACAGAACAAAGATGAAATCTGTCCAATATTGAACAAACTTGCAAAAGGCAATACGTGGGATACAACGTGCCAAGGTCGCGTATTCTAGTTTTTCTGTTGAAACTTGCTTTGCAACTTGTTTTGCATTCACGCAATCTTTCCGACTCATCTACAACTCAAAATTTGGGCTGTAGCTAACCAAGAATAGTGTGGAAATTTGGAGAATAACTCTTAGTAAGTTCAAAAGCCAACTTTACCAACCAAAAAATAACTCACCTTGAGCTTAAATTCTCTATAAATAGCAGCCTTTGGAGACCATTTTCACAATTTTGGAAGGCTAGAAAAACTCATCAAAAATGTAGTTTTCACTAAAATTTCCTTAATTCATTAGTTAAAGTAATATAGTATAGTTAGTGTAACTTTTCCTTCTCGTATTTGTAATTAGATTTGGATGAAAATTTGAAGAACAAAGATAGAGAGTTTGAAACTCATGTGACATTTGTGACTTTTCTCTTATCACTTTCTCTTTTGTACTCCCTTCGTCCCATATATTTGGTTGTATTTGGGGATATGTGCTTTTTATGCATAGTACACTTCACCAAAAAAAATTTTCTTTTTTTTCACTTTTGCCCTTATGCACAGTACACTCCACTTTTGCCCATCACCGCTACTCTTATCTGATACAAACACATCTTCCGGAGACATTAATGTGACAAGTGACAACTCTTCAGATCACAAGCTACAAACTTTCTTCCCGCAAGAAAATTTCATCGTCTTTTACTACCCCACTTCCTAAATTTCTTCCATCTTTTGCTAATAAATCCTTAAAATTTTGCTCTACCTAACTTTCGACAACAAGTTGACGCTGATGCTCAAGGAAGAGATGAAAACTCTATGGGATTCAAGTCTTCAATAAAGGTTTGTCTAATTTGCACTGTTTATATTTGGATTATCCATCTAATCAAAACATATCAAGATTGAGGTTTTTTTATTCTCTTGTTATGATTTGTTTTTATTCTTTCTTTTTTTGGGTTCATGTCTAGAGGGCGTTAATTCTTGTCTTGCTTAATTATAATTTCTGGTTTTTTTTTAAGATTTGCCGCCAAATTGGTCGAAAAATTCTGCAAGTTGGCAGATTTCTAAAAATTGAATTGCATATTTTAAAAAATTGTTAACTAAGGACTACGACTACTTACTCCTAGTTCTACTCTGTATATAAATATGAGCATTATGCTTTGTTTCGTTGGTGACTTTTTAAAGAAAAATGGATATGCTTGATGACATTGAAACTTCCTGCAATTGTATAAAGAGATTAACTAATGAAGGAAGGCAGTCCATTTTTGAAACTCTCTTGCAGTATAGTGATGGTGGAAAATTGAGAAGAGGGACAATTAAGAATGTTGCAAACTTATTCCAGATAAATGTCATAACTGTTAGCAGGATTTGAAAACGAGCGGCAGTCTCTTTTGCAAATGGAGGAGTAGTTGATGTAACTCAGAGATTTCCAAAAAGACCTGGACGGAAACAAGTGGAAATAGATTTCACCTCCATTATGACAATTCCTCTTCGCCGCCGAACAAACATTCGTTCTCTCTCCAGTGAAATGAAAGTGGCTAAGTCAACTCTTCATCGACGAATTAAAGAAGGTGCTATTAGGCCGCATTCAAATGCATTGAAACCACAGTTGACGGATGAAAATAAGCAAGTAAGACTTCGATTTTGCTTGTCAATGCTTGAATCTGAAAGTCTCAATACTAAACCAGTTTTTAGGGGTATGTTTAATGTTGTTCATGTTGATGAAAAATGGTTTTATATGACTAAAGAATCCGAAAGGTACTATCTTCATCCTGAGGAAGAGCAACCTCTTCGAACATGTAAGAGCAAAAAATTCATTGCGAAGGTTATGTTTCTAGTTGCTGTAGTTCGACCTCGGTTTGATTGCTCTTACTACTGAGAATTTGATGGCAAAATTGGTATTTTTCCTTTTGTACTAAAAGAGCCGGCAAAAAGGAATAGTAAAAATCGGATTGCTGGTACATTAGAAACGAAGCCAATATTGTCAGTGACTAAAGAGGTGTATAGAAGATGCCTAATTGAATAGGTTTTGCCTGCAATACGCAGTAAATGGTCACGTGAAAATGGTACTGAAATTTTCATCCAACAAGATAATGCCAAGCCACATATTAATCCCATGGATTCTGAATTTATTGAGGCTGCTTCAATGGATGGATTTGATATTCACTTGTTATTTTAGCCTCCTAATAGCCTGGACATGAATGTTCTTGATTTAGGATATTTTAGGGGCATACAATCACTTCAACATCAAGAAGCGCCCAAAACAATAGATGAGCTAATCCTTGCTGTTGAAAAATCATTTGATCAACTATCAACTGAAAGCCTCAACAATGTTTTCTTAACACTGCAATCATGTATGGTAGAGGTGATGAAGAACTTAGGGGAAAACAATTACAAAGTGCCGCACATTGGAAAGCATCGTTTAATGAAAGATGGTTCTCTTCCTCTGCAAATTGAATGTGAAAAAGAACTCATTAACCAAGTTCAAAGTCATATACAAGCATGAAGATGGTTTCATTGGACAGGTTCACTTATATGCAAAACTAGTTTGTGCTTTACAGTTTATGGTCCCTACTTCTTTGTTTATGGTTGTCTACACTAACTTTTGTTTTTTTTTCTTCTTTATATAGGTACTGAAGTATACTAATCAGGTTTTTACAAGTAAATGGCAGTACAAGTGGTTGGATTTTGCATCTTATATTTATGGTAGTTTACACTTACCTATATTCTTTATCTTCCTATTTATTGGTACTCGACAGTATAAGTGCTTGGATTTTGCAAAATGTAAAAAAGGACTCAATCTTTCTTTTGATCAGTTATTCTTGTTTACTTAATGCGTATCTATGGAATATTGATATGGCAATTCATAAAGATGCGCATCTATGGAAATTGGTAAGTTATTCTTGTTTACTTAATGCGTATCTATGGTTGTTTACTTATTAGAAATATAAGTTGAGTTATTGGATATGGCAATTCATATTTTATTGTTTTTTAGATTGATTCTTTTGATATTCTCAATTATCTGCATCTTTATTTGTTGTCTTGACTAACTCAAGTTTTTTCTCATTTTACTTGCAGGAACTTAAAGTCTAAAAATTCAAACTTTTTGAACTTGATGGTGCAAGTACTTTAATTGTGCAAAGATTGGAGTAGTAAAAGTGCTTACCAATTTGTAAATTAAATGTTTTTTCGACTTTTGTAAAGCATGTACTCCATCTAAAGGCCTTGATATCATTTTGGCTGAATGTTTTTGGCTGAATCTTGTATGTTGATGCCTTTTTTTCCTCTTTGGCTGGATCATTTTAATTGAGTAATAGGCGTGAGCTACTTCTCTTACTCCGTTTGTGCCAATGTGAATTTTTATTTTTTCATAAAAAAAGATGTGAATTTTAATTTGTAGATCTTTAATTAAAATTATAGAAAGAAGATACACACTTTGTCCTGCAACCGAGAAAAGAGAAGCACTTTATCTTGAAACCAATGATTGTGGAACCCATACACTTTGTCCTACAACTAAGAAAAGAGATGCACTTTGTCTTGAAACCAATGATTGTGGGACCCATAGCATTTTGTGGGCCAAGCTATAGTATTCTTTATGCATAATTAATGAAGGATATGGAGGGAATTTCAAAGTATAAAGTAGTTAAAAATAAGAAACATGACAAACATTTTGGGACAGCCAAAAAAAGGAAAGAATGACACTTTTAATGGACGGAGGGAGTATTTGATTTTATGTTTAGCTATAATACAAGTTTGGTATTTATTTTCATATTTTGCTAAAGTTTATGTCTAGAGTATGGATGAACTTTCTATATCTTGTTAGTGATGTTTATTTGGTTATTTGGAGATAATATTTTGAACAAGTTATTTATCACTTTTGCTTTTCTAATCATGATTAACTGACCATTAATTGTGATAATCTTAAGGTGTTAAGTTTGGAATGAGAATTGAAATTTAATACTAGTTCAAGGAAATGATAAACTTAAGGAGTTCACTCACGAGAGTAGAGGAGCACCTTTGTGGTTTTAGTGACTTGTTTCATCTAATTTCATAGAAGAAATGAACTTATAGTTAATTTCATAACCACGAGAGTAGGTATGGCTTAATTACAAGTATAGTTGATTCATTACGAGAGTAGGTTTCAAATATATTAGGAAATTACGCCATAACTAGGCAAGATAATAACATTCACTTAATCAATAATATCATTTGCAAGAGTAGTAATGAATTCTATACCTCCAGGAGTTTTCTATTATTATTTTTATTACTTTTATCTCATGTTTGTAGTATAGATTTAATTTCTTGCACTTGTGGTAGTCTAAATAATAAAGGAATTCGAAAAACATCGGTAATTGAAAATCTTTCCTATGGGTTCGACCCTTAATACCCTATACTCAATCGTGACTCGTATACTTGCGAAAAATCGCGTGTGGGGTATTTAGAAATTTATAAATGCAAGACTTAACTGTGAATGAGCTAATTATTATATGTATACCCTGCGCTCGTCAATTATTTGGAGCAAATGTTTGAACTAATATAAGACGTTGGTGTGAAAAATGCATTTATGGTGCAACAAAAGAATTTTCTCAAACATAAATAAATAAACGTAGAACTAAGATTTATGTAATGTATAAACTAAAACAATAATCATAAATATTTGATTATTTCATGTACTTTATTGATTTGATCATGAATAAGTATTAAATGCATAAAACAATTTTAGTCTTAAATAAGGGTCAAACCTTCGCTTAGTTGCAACTATTTTAATAAGAGTAAGCTGAAGATCAAACTCGTCCTATTTTTGATGGGCTAAATGGAATGAAATCACGCTAACTAGACCAATGTATAAACTAAAACTATGATTATAAATATTTGATTATTTCATATACTTTATTGATTTGAGTCATGAACAAGAATTAAATGTAAGCCTACCTTAGCTACAATTATTTAAATCAAAGTCTAACTTTGAACCCAAGAACAACTTAGTCCTACTTTTAATGGGCTAAATATGTTGAAATTAGGCTAATTAGACCACTTAATTAGTCCTGGGGCCTTAATATTAGCATAAAACAATCTTTCCCCAAAATATAAGGGTTTAAACGTGTATTTGAAAACATACTTGGCTCATCTGAAAACGCATGCCCGAATTGGTGCAGCTTTAAACTCAACATAGCTACATCCAATTGGCCTTTGGTGGAATTGTTGGAGGAAGAAATAAATGAAAAGTAGAACCCCTGGCACCAATCTCTCATTGTTGAGGTTTTGGGAAGAATATTAGTTTCAAGTTTTTGTCTGTCAAACTTCTCATTAAGGAACCTACCATTCCATTTGAACTTAGTCATGTTAGCATGAATTATGTTTTTAGTTCAATTTTGTAAAAAGAGTGACTATAATTTCATCCTTCAAGAGGGGCCTGGGATGGTATTCAACAAGTTTCCATAGGAAATAAATAGCGACTAGATATCCATTCTTTTAAGCATGCAATTTCTACCACACTAGCACTCAAGGTCGCTAAGCATAAAGACCAGATGGTTGATAACTTGATAGTTGAAGTGGACTCAGAAAGCTTGGTAAGGTTGGTATCCTCCAAAACAATGTCGAAGTGGCCACTCTATAATGTTTTGAGAAGAATTCGCGCTCTGTTATCGGATTTTTCCTCGTTGGTTACTTATATCTTCAGAGAAGCCAATGGCTCCGCGGATAAGTTGGCAGCGAAGCGATCTTCTTCAGATCTATTCTGTACTTCTCTTCAGCAGCTGCCTAGGGCTATTAGAGCCGCTATTCGACTTGATTCAAGTGGAGTGTTCTTTTCTGCGTGTGCAAATTGTACGAGAGTAGTGCTCCTGCTATCTATTTTCGGTAGATTGAGATTGGCTTCCATGAACTCTCTGTATTTTGGTTTTGTTGAGCAATAAAAACCCATATTGGTGCAAAAAAAAAAGCTGGACCAAATTTTGAAGATTCAAATAGATATGAAAAAAAAGGTCGCTAAGCAAACATTAAAGGCTTCCAATTTCAAACAAAAGTGTGCACGCATTTGCATTGAGGTGGACCTCAATAAACTATTGATTCTCTTGAATTTTATGAAATTTGCAATCAGTAGAATATGGGGATTTTCGTCTTATTTGCTTTGGCTATAGTCAATATGGTTATCCACAAGAAAATCATGAAAGAGATATTTAGAAAATCTCTAATAGAGGAAGATGGCTTGCATGAAGAAAATACAAATTCAAAATTCCACATTCCAAATAGAGTGGAGGACCCCACAAATTTCGGCCATGGCTATAAGCCCATTTGAAAAAACTGAAATTTGAAATCTAAATTTTGAAAATTAAGTGCTGAAAGTATTAAATTACTAAATTAGTTATTATATCTTTCTGATAACTAACAGGATTTTAATATTGAATTGAAAAATCACACTAATATTATGTTTCTATTTTGTTAAAAAAATTGCCTTTATTTGTGTATTTGGAGAAAAAGAAAAATGTTCGTGTGTGCGTGCAGTAGAAAATAATGAAACAATTTAGATGTATTAGATGTGGTGTTTAAGTGTGTATCTTTGTATAAAGATAGTGTGCACATTCATATGTGTCTCCGTCAATGTTGTTAAACTTGAACCAAATAGCGACTCGACTAAACTATTGGGTCATCAGTCCATCGTTATCAAAAATTCGCTGATGTCAATATGATGTCATAATTATTTTATATTTTTATAAGTTTTATAATATTGAAATTAAGTTCTTAATTATATTCGACTAACCATACAAAACTGTTACAAAAATATCAGGTTTGGAATCAAATATACACCTAAAAATTATATATAAAAATGTGAACTCATGTCTAAAATATGTTGATTCTCTAAAATTACTTGAAAAACAA